ACTTTACATAAAATTATATCAAGTATAAGTACCTACAGAACAGATTTAAATATTATGGTTGCATTTAGGTCATTCCGCATTTGAGAGAGAAAATTTCGTGTAGGTATGTAAAAAGTACAAACATCACACATTCGAAGTTTTACAATCTTTACCGTTGTAAACAACCCAAGCATGCTTTGCGAATTGTCTAGAATATTATCATATTGTTCAAACAAAACACAAACACTTGTGTTCCTCATGTAATCAATGTGCGAGAAGCACAGCATATTTGCAAAGGAATGAAAGAGATGGAGACAAATTGAATTGACAATGCGATGATGAGTAATGACTTAACAAGTTTTTTTTTTTTATATTGCACCTGCAACAAGAGTCAGTAATCACGTACCTGGACTTTGAACAATAAACGTAGAATACCCTAACAGTAGATGATTTAGAAACAATTTTGAATAGTTCTTGTTCTTCTTATTTGTCATACAACTCAAATCTTTAACGACGTTTTTATAGTTAAAATAATAATAAATTCTTTATTTCCAAAAACTTATTAGGTATGTACAAAGCTTTTATAATATGTTAAGAATTGTTTATCCGTGGAGAACCATTCTTCGGAACAAATGGTCAGACGTTTGACTCCCCATAACCCTAAAAAAAATTCTACTTGCAATTATTGTAGGTAATGTGTCATGTAGTCAACAATTTCTCGAATTATGTTAAAATAATTTAATTATATACGTACGTACGTTACTCAATTGACTTTAAATTACCTATCATTAACAATTTACCCAAATTGGATGCATTAAAATATAACGACGTCAATGTCGGACAATGCACATTTTTTATTTGACCAGGTATAAAAGTACAGAAGCCATGACGTAAATATTCTTCAACCCGAGATGGCAATTTATCTACAGGTATGATATGATATTGATATTAATCCGTGAAGAGAATTCTTTGACTGCACCTTTTCAAAGAAAGTTCGGACGAGGACGATAACAAAATGTAGAATACTAAAAGTTTATACGAAGAAGACACGAGGCTAAACTGATGCCTAGTTATAAATTTAAAAATTATACGACAGTTTCTACAAAATGCTAGAGATGTCTAGTATGTATGGCAAATCTACAAGGACTAATGACGGTTCAATTTATACTGGCCATGATGTAAAACCAGTCATTAAAATTAATAAATTAGGTACTGTCAAAATTCGACCAGTAAGCGATGAATTCTTTAAATTAATTGTGTACCCAGTGTTAAATTTGTGCTCCTCAATACGATCAGCTAGGGCTACATAAAACAGACAGGAGGTATAGGTAGAGGACTCACCCCGCCCCCTCCCTCGACTCGTCCCTCACCCCTTTGCCAATCAAATTTTAAATCACGCAACTCAACAACAATGTTTTTATTACCGTCGATTTTTGCCATTAAATGACTTCTTAAGTTGAATACTGACCTCTGTCTTACTGACTGACTAAAAAAACTTTGAAAGTCAAGTTTTAAATAGATTTAGCGGTGAGCCTCGCAGGGTTTTCTGAACTTAATACTTCAGGTATTATGCAGTTATTATTTGTAGAATATTACTTCAATCATCTTGCTATACCTTAACACAAATTCTGTAAATGCCCTTGCCTTGCTTCTGGCTTAAAGAAGTGTCAGTAGCAGGGTTGTGTGTGAGTCCCTTACTGCTTCTGTAAGCGACTATTTTCGTTTAAGTGAATTTACCTACCTATCTATGGAATCAGCCACCATTGATGAGCGTAACACTCATCATGAAATCTAATCTAAGCTGATTTTCAAAATAGCTTTCGCCTGCGGCGCCGCCCGCGTATATGTGCTTACCTAAGTATATCGGTTATCGCGGTAAAAGAAGGTCATGTTACTCGTGGATAATGCTTTCCATTGGTAAAATAATTTTTCAAATCAGTGTAATGGTTTAGGCGTGAAAGCGTAACAAACAAATTCACTTTCACATTTATAATATACTATTTGATTTTATAATATACTTTTTGAGTTTTAAAGCGTACACAAACCAACTTAACATTTTAATATAAATAAGCAGTATGGAAATATAGACTAGCTTTTACCCGATAATGTAGCTTGCGATTGGTGAAAGAATTTTCAAAATCGGTTGAGTGGTGGTGAAAGCGTAACAAACAAACAAACTCACTTTCACTTTTTTATAATATAAGTATGGAAGTATGGATTTCTATCATAGCCTGTCTCTCGAGACTATAGGTTATCCCTGTTCATCCATCCAACAGGGTCCATCTCTAGAAATGGCATCAAAGTAACATAATCAGAGATAAACCAGTCTATAAAGGTAGAAATAGTAGTTGGCCGTCTAGTCCCAAATTCGACAGAAGATACATATATGTACATATTTGTCAAGGGTGAGAATCTGTCCAACGACCTTTTAGCTCGGCAGCTAGGCTCACTAACTAGATCACTTATTTTTGAAGTGAAAACTTCATTAGTCGCGTTGGGCATTTGATTTGAAAAAAAAATGTATTTTTTGAGATGGGCCGTTACCTATAATTATCTACACAATAAGTATATGATATGTTATGTTTGGGTTGAAATACATTGATAATATATCCATATATAATATAAACATACATTGTGTGTTAGGTACATAGAAATACATTCATGTCGGAACATTTCCAAAAGAAAAAACCAAGAAAATATCAAAAAAAAAAATGTTCAAGTCAAGTCACCTACATCTCTAAGACCTGGGTGCACTACAGTACTTATGCAATCGTCGTATAACATACCTATTGTGTGTATTGAAAGGTTTTTTCTTGATGTATAATTATTGTGCCCTTTATTGCCAGTAATGGATTGAATTAAAAAAATAGTTACATTTCGGTGATGCATGACCTAACCGGTCGGCCGCCCTTCCTAGCTTGATACGCTTCAGAAAATCTACCACGTAAAGCTTATGCGGTAAAATAAAGATCGTTCGTTTTAGAATACATTTAGGCATTAGATAAATAGAAAGATAGAATATATTCTACTACTATTTTGCCTTCAGTTTTATATCACATTGTTGCTTGTATTGCACAAAAAATGTGTTAAATAGACTCGCTACTGGTAAATAGTGAGCGAGAATCATGCGGCACTATTACGACTATGATACCCCAAGCCCAGACATGCGCATGAAACACAATATCTACCATAAATCAATTACAATTACCAACCAACTAACCTGACTAACCTATTGTAAGATTATAGAGGCAATATAATGATACAGTTAGTGTTGCGGCTGACATAGGCTGAGACACATTCCTGCTTCGGGAAGTACCTGCACTCGGTGCAGCACTCCTGCACCAGTAGAAAAATTGTCGCCTGTCACCAGTGCGATTGCAGTGAGGACTCGGCTCAGCAAACGCAAAAAAAAACTATGGAATTATACATTGCTTTTCATTTACTTTAAATAAACAATATTCTAATAAACGTTATTCTTAATTGCTTAATATTCACCCGGGGGGAGGAAGGGAGGAACTCTTTAAATTTAAATGAGATCCAATGTCCAAACTGAAACTATACCCTTTCAAATGAAAAACAAATTTGACGCATGACGGAGTTCTGAGAAAAATAAAAATATAAAATTTACCTACTCCTCCTATTTTTTAATAGATTACAAATTATCTAAAATATTAATTCTAAGAATAGTAAGCAAATAAACAAAATTCTGAAAGGATAAACTGGACATACTTAAAGTTGACTTTCAAGGTTTTAAAGACTTTCAAAGTCAGTCACCACTAGACGTCAGTAATTAATAGATACTTGAGGCAGCCATTTACGGAAAATGACGAAATACTTATGGTGTATCATGTTTTGGAAAGATTGAAAATTAAAACAACATTCGGTTCCCATTCGGCTCCAACCCTTTACATTAAATTTATTGAAGTTTTTAAAAAAATGTTAAATGTCATATTGTTTCAAAAAGTATGTGCACTTAAGCAAAATGAAAAATAAATCGATTTCACTGCTCAAATCTGTAAAAATGCTATACAAAAAGAAATTAACTCTTCAAAAATGCGCCTAGAGAATTTAATAAAGTGATTTTTTTATTACGTTTTCTTCAAACTTGAACTAAACGTAACAAATTTGAAGAAACTAAATTGCGAACCTCCTTCATTTTTAAGTCGGTTAAAAACTTTCAGTGTTGCTATATCTTATGGTAGTGTTTAACCATATGTGTGCTCGGAGGTCCAGTACTCTTATTTGTGTCTTAAATGCTTCAGTTATTTTTATTACAGTAAAGTATAAAGTACACATTAAACTTTTTAAGTAAAAAAAAAACTATTGATTCAATTATATAATTTAGAAATTAGACCATGGACATTGCCACCAGGAGTCATAATCGTGCAATATATTTTACTGATAGTCCATGTGTTATTTCAATTGAACCCATTAACGAGACCTCCAAATCCGTCATAAAAGTTCATCATTAATGTTAGGAAGTGGACAGTACATGATTACAGTTTGTAAAGACTAGTACTATAAGTTTCCTCATTATCAGTATTTTTATTTATCACTTGTCTATTTTAAGAGTAGATTTATATTATTAGTGTGGTGTGCTGTGTGCTCACAAACGTGCAATCACAATTTTTCCATTTTCAAGTCATTATTCCATTGTGCTACTACTGTCGCATAGCTCTTGTTGGACGCATTTCTATAGATTGAAATATTTAGAATGGCAACATTTATGTGTGACAGGTGTTTACGCGCCAAACAACAATGGTTGCTGCAAGCAAGTCTAACGCTTAATAAATTTTTATAAAAACCGTTTACGATACGTTTTAACTAAGTAATACAATAATACACGTTGTGAATATTTGCGATATATCCAGAATTAATGCATTAACTATTCAATGTGCTATGAATACGTTTATTTAGGCAAATTTTAGAATATGTAGCGAGGCTCGATCTTCGGTCCGTTGATATGAAGTGTCTTATTTCGCGTGTTATTTCTAATTAAGGTCAGTAATTAGTTCAGAGAGATGGCCGCGATAACGCCGAGACGTTCATCTCGTATCCCTCATACTTACACACCGAAAATGACTGAGAGGAAAAAGGGCTTGTTTCAAAGCGAGGACATGGCTTCGAGGGAGTCATTGACGACTCACCGAACGCTGCCGGTGGTGGATAGCGAGAGTGATAGCGAAGAGTGCGACTTGGGGATCATCAGTACCTTAGACTCCAGTTCTGGAGACGAAAACGACCAGAACATTCCTAAAACACCAGAAAGAAGTTTGTGGCGTAAGTGTACCTAAATCTGTTATTCGTTTTTAAACTTTATTGCCCTTAATTAGTACTTTAACAGCTGCAGGAAGCTGTTATGTCGTGTGTCTCTGAACTTTCACGATGAATCAAGGTCCCTTTTGTCATACAACTTTTAAACCCTAACCTTGTGAATTGTTATCTTGTTAATATAAAAATTTCCTTGTATCCCAGATAACCATAGTATGCAAATATTATTTTTGTTATTGGTACATGGTATGAAAGAAGTCTGTAATCTAGTGCCAGAGTATTAAATGTAGTGTTTTAAATGTAAATCTTTTATAGGTGAAACATATTATCTTTAAAAGAAAAAGATTGTCACAAAAGAGGTTTTAAGTGGTATATATTATTTTTCTCAAATTCTAAGTTGCTAAGGTTCTCTTTAATAGAGAAAACAAGAAATATTTAAGAGGATTCTGTATAATGAACCCTTTTCTTCAGAACTATTCTCACAATACTTTAACAAGGTAAATTAGCACATTAGCAAAATCTCACATAAAAGACAAATTAGTAAGTATTAGACAAGAGTTAGTATCAGTTATATTTGCTAACATGTTCATAATTGTGATATCTGGAGCAACTCAAATGACCAGCTAGCAATAAACCCAAATTTAGGGCATAATCATAAAACGGTTAGTTTCTAGGTCAGCATGTTATTTAGTATACAATAAACAATGTTTCAAATTATTATTCTTAATATGTTCACTTGTGTATATTAAAAGATATGGCAGATACCCAGAGTAAGATGTTTTGAATTCAATTCAATCTTTATTACACTTTGTAATTAACAAAGAATTGTAGTAACGGGGCTTAGAGACAATTGTGTACCCAATTGGATATGGATATTATTTAATGGTTCACTGCTGGACATAAGCCTCTCCTTAGTAAACTAGCTCTTACGACACCCACATGATGAACAGGGGTAGTGACACTCCGTATTCTTAATCCAAAACCACACAAATACATACATATAGTACAAATAATTTTTAATATAGATAAATACAGAATAAATGTGACATAATATATGAAAAAGAAATTAATTTTGTAATAATTTATTAAATACTTAGTTAATAAGAAATAGTTACTTTATGAAAATATAAATAGATTTTATGGTTTAAATAATAGTGTAGTAGAATTTTTGTAATTAAATACACTGTTTTTTATGTTCATGAGTTAATTTATTGTAGATTTAGGCATGAATAAGACAGGGTAATATTTGTATTAAAAAAAGTACTTATATTAACTAAAGTAATATGGATGTTATCTTTTATTTACTCATTAAAGAAATATATTGCAGCATAAATAGGTGGTCTCTTTGCAACTCTTTGGAGGGTTTAATTATGTTTCCTTGTGTTTTATTTGAAAAGTAACTTGACACATCACACACAGCCATCTGATCCCAAAGTCGGTAAAGCTGCTGAACATATATCATAACACATTCAAATAAATTTCATCCAGACACAACAAATGATAATGCAATAATTTTGTCCTGGGTGGGAATCAAACCTACAACCTCTGACTTACTAGTAAAGATCATAAAGAGATATATTAACAGGCACATTGAATTGAATTGATTTTTTTGGAAATATACAATGTGGTGTGTGCACCATTACAGCAATGTTGTCCACTGGTGGCTGGAGATCTAAAGGAATTAGCCACCCCTTCCACACAAGGCCGTCTGATTCCAAACTAGTTATCCATTTATTAGTATTGTATTTTATTTTTATTAATAATTCTTTCTTTTTGTTAAAGATGAAACAAGGAGTCAAACAAGAAGACTGTTGAGAGAATCTAATGACCTGAAGAATTTTATCAAGTCTCCATTTACATTGAAGAAGTATCAGACAAGATATTCTTGTCCAGACTCAAAATGTACAGGTTCTATGTCCACACCTGTTACTCCACACTTGAACAATCATCCTGGAACCCCATCCTCAACACACTCTTGTACAAGTGTTCATACTACCTCTTCCACATCAAGCAGGGCTCGCAAAAGCCTAGCTAGTCTTATTGCTGATACTGAGAGCTGCAGCAGTTCCCTCAAAGACCTGAACTTTGACACAGACTCTGGTACTGATTCCAAAGAGAATACTCCTACTAAACCTATTCGAAGATCAAGTAGGCGACAAAAGATGACGCCAAAACTGCAAACTTTCAAGGGCATTTTACTTGAACAGAAGAAGAATATAACTCCAATGAAGAATCCAGTTGTCTGCTTGACTAAAATGGATATGGACAGTATGCTATCACCTACACAGATGCAGAAGACCCCTCATAATATGACTGAGGTTGTATCACCTCCTAAATTAGGACACAACCGTCGTTCAGTAGTAGAAATTGAAGAAAGTCCTGAATCACTTTATGATAGTGAAAAAAGTCACAAACGATTACGCAATGATAGCATTTCGGAAAGCGCACCCAGCTCTAAATACCCTAGGCTTGAGAATGCACCTAAGGCTCGACTATCTCTCTTCAACAGTGATAGATTAAAAGAAATTCTGTCTGCTAAATCCTTTTATGGGAAAACTAATCCAGAACTTAACACCACTGTGGTTACAAAGATTTCGAGTGCAATTGAGGCTAGCACAACGCATCGACGTATGAGGCATTCTCATTCTCATAGACGTAAAAGAAGGCCAGGTCAGATCAATCTAGGGGTGAGACATAGAATAAGAAAGCCGAAAATGCACAAAAATAGAGTGGTTCAATATTATAATGCATGTCAGAATAATTCCATCTTGGACAACACTGGTGTGTCTACTACCAGCAGGACTGATACATCCATCTTGAGTCAAAATTCATCTCAGGATCTTATAAATGGTAAGTACATAATTTTCATGTTAAAAAGAGGTGGTTTTGACTTTAAATTATGGATAATGGAAATGTAAAGCGTCATATTAATTTAAACTATTTAGTATGCAGTAGCACTTGACATGTGTTAGTAATCCAGACACACAGTACATAAACATATAGTATGTGTATATTACACAGGTATTTTATTACATATTATTACACAATTTATTAGTATGCATTACAGCAAAGACCAGAAAATTCTATTATAAATTTGAACATTGAAACCCAACAGCTATACTACTCAACTTCTTGTCGTAAAATGAGATGAGGTGGTTTCGAGAAAATGTTTTTTAGACCTTTAGCGGCGAAGTCAATACCTATCATTGGTCAATCATTTTTACGTATCATCTTAATCTGTATGGGCTATCAACACTAGGCGTTAGCTCCCACAAAATATATGAAAACATAAACATCGTCACGGTGACCGCGTGCGGGTTTGCGATTGGCCCTCATTGAAATCTACACCAGTCGCAACGCCGAACGCTCTCGTCGTCCAGAGCGACTTGATGTGAAATAAACTCACACTATACCCTCTGATGCCTCTTCAGTACCAAACGAACACGCCGTGCATATGTGTATAGGGCAGTTATATTATCTACAATCAAGCTTTTATTAAGATATAACCATTTTTGTAGATAAAGCAGACCCTTTTGATAAAGAAAAACAAACAATCGAAGCTCTTCTCAGCCAATGGACTGAAGAAGAAGTTCCAGAATCAGAACTATCAATTTCGAAACCTGTGCAAGAACTGCCTTGCTTCAACAGTACAGTTATAGAAGAAACCAACCAGATCTTTCAGCCAGTAACGGCAGTGCCAGTAAATATGGCAACACTGCCACAGGATTCTGAAGCTGTCATTATTGAGTTAGGAGGTAATAAACATGAAGTGTCTTTGCCCCAAGGAGTGGCACCTCTGGCACAAAGTTTATCACCCTTGCCAGAAACAGGGGCCAATGACGTAGTTATGGGTGAATCAGGACACATTGAAACTCATGGAGAAGTACCGAAAAGTGGCCAGTTTTTACCAGTGGAAGGCGGTTATATTCTTGTAGAAGAAAATGGTGCTCCAGGTAAGTCGATTTTAGTCCCAAACATAATTTTAAAGTTAGGATATAAACGTTAATTTTTCTATTGCTATTTCATTGTCAGTGAATATAAGATAGGTAGAATTGTTGTTGCGCCAGGTGTACTGGTGGTCCGCCGAGATCGCGCATTTGCGCGTCTCGTGCGTTCGAGTCAGGCGCCAGTACACCCGATACCGGAGAAGACGTCGTCGGGTTCCTGACGAAGAAGCCGCGCTGTATGAGGTGAACCGTGCGGCTAAGGAGGCTCTGCGGCTGGCCATCGGTGAGGCGAAGACGCGAGCTAGGGAGGAGATGTTGGAGACTCTAAACGGGGATCCGTGGGGGCGTCCATACCGCTCGGTCCGAGGGAAACTCGGCCCATGGGCGCCGCCAATTGCGGAGAGTCTCCAACCCGAGCTGCTGGAGGACGTAGTCGCAGCCCTCTTCCCGGCTCAAGCGGAGCATACTCCGCCGCCGATGGCTCTGCCCACAGCCGCGGAGTCTGAAGAAGAGGACGCCAACGTCCCAGAGGTGACACAATCAGAGTTGGGGGCGGCCGTGATACGGCTCCGGGCGAAGAATACTGCCCCGGGGCCCGATGGCATTCACGGCTGCGTGTTGGCCCTGGCTCTGAAGGAGCTGGAGCCCCAATTGATAGGACTCTACTCAGCGTGCCTGGAGCGGGGCCAGTTTCCCGTTCAGTGGAAAACGGGTCGTCTGGTCCTGCTCAGAAAGGTGGGGCGCCCTGCGGACTCGCCGTCCGCGTACCGGCCCATAGTGCTGCTGGACGAGGTGGGAAAGCTGTTCGAGCGGATAGTTGCAGCCCGCCTCGTCCGCCACTTGTGTGAGGAGGGGCCGGACCTGGCCGAGTGCCAGTTCGGGTTTCGGCATGGGCGCTCGACTATTACGGCGATTTCGCGAGTGAGAGTCCTGGCGGAGGAAGCGGTGTCCTGCGGCGGGGTGATGTTGGCGGTGTCCTTGGACATCTCCAACGCCTTCAACACCCTGCCCTGGAGTTGTATTCGGGAGGCAATGCGCTACCATCAAGTGCCTCCCCACCTCCGCCGCATCGTTGGGGCGTATTTATCGGAGAGGTGTGTCACCTATCTGGGACGTGATGGCAAACATCAGCGCCTAATGTCGTGCGGTGTTCCGCAGGGGTCAGTCCTAGGCCCGCTCCTGTGGAACATCGGTTACGACTGGGTGCTGAGGGGCGAGCTCCAACCGGGGGTAGACCTGACGTGTTACGCTGACGACACGCTGGTCACTGCCCGGGGGAGCTCGTACAGGGAGGCAGCGTTGCTAGCGACGGCGGCGGTTTCACAAGTGGTGAGCCGCATACGGCGCCTTGGCCTGGAGGTGGCCCTCAACAAGTCGGAGGCCATAGCTTTTCATGGCCCCCGACGGGCGCCGCCGCTGGGATTGCACATGGTGGTTGGGGGGGCTCGAATCGCTGTCGAGTCCACCCTAAAATATCTAGGATTGGTGCTCGACAGCCGGTGGGATCCTGGCCCTCACTTCCGGCGGCTGGCGCCCAAGTTGTTGGGCGCGGCTGGGGCGCTGTCAACGCTGCTTCCCAATCAGTCGGACCCGAGAGCCGCCTGCAGGCGGCTGTACGAGGGGATCGTGCGATCGATGGCCCTATATGGGGCCCCGATCTGGGCGGCTGACCTGACGGCCGCCGCCATCACCGTTCTGCGGAAGCCGCAGCGGGTGATGGCCGTCAGAGTTGTTAGGGGTTATCGCACGATCTCCTACGAGGCGGCTTGCGTACTGGCCGGATCTCCGCCCTGGGACCTGGAGGCAAAAGTCCTCGCGTCACTGCATCGGTGGCGTGAGGACGCGCGGGCTCGCGGTGAGGGACTGGCGCAGCGAGACATCGAGCTGCGTCGGTCACAGCTGCGCGAGGTCCTGGTGGTGGAATGGCGGGACAGGCTTTCACGCCCTTCCGCCGGCCTCGTCACTATCGAGGCCATCCGGCCAGTGCTCGACGTCTGGCTCGACAGAAGGCACGGCTCCCTGTCGTTCCGTGTGACGCAGGTCCTCTCTGGGCATGGCTGCTTCGGGAGGTTCCTGTGTCGCTTAGGCAGGGAGCCGGACGCTCGGTGTCACCACTGCGTCGACTGTCGGGAGGACACGGCGCGGCATACGCTGGCAGAGTGTGCCGCCTGGGAGGAGCCGCGCCGTGCCCTCATATCTGTAATAGGCAGTGACCTCTCGCTGCCGGCCGTAGTTCGTTCTATGGTCGACAGCGAGGAGTCTTGGGACGCGGTGGCGTAGGCTGCGGAGAGGGAGAGGGAGATCCTGACCTCTCTCCCGATCCGCAGCAGGCGCACCGGGCGTCGGAGGAGGGCATATGCTGCCCTCCAACGGCCCCCCTAGCTGGGTCCAGGGGCGACGGGCTTGGGGATGTTCGTCGCCCCATCTGGACCCGAGGTGGCGGCGCGTTGTGTTCCCGTGCGCCCCTCTGTGTAGTCGCGAGGGGAGTCAAACACCTCACTCCCCTCGCTGACGCGATGTGGCCCGCAGCGGTGGGCCGGCACCAGTCGGGGATTGCGGAAGTCACTTCAGTTCCCGCGATCCCCGGCGTAGGTGAGAGTCGGAACACCGGGGGGTTTTAGTCAGTAGGAGTCTGACAGACCCCTCCGCCCTTTCCCCTGGGCGGAGGACATCCATGAGGATCTCCCCCCGTTAAAAAAAAAAAAAAAAGGTATAATTGTTGTTAGTCACAGCCTTTTAAAACATTTCTTACAGCCTTTTAGACATTACTAACAAAAAAAAAGTCTGTACAACCTTAATTGCTTTAGTAAACCATGTTTCAAAGTTACCATAAGTGGCACTGCATCTATTATTTCGATTGCACATTGCAGCTTATATGTTGTGACCCTTTCAACTTTTTTGTTGAATTTTATGCAGAATAACATATTTTCTAAATATTTCAGCACAAGAGGAACTTCCAGACTTAGACGAAATTGAACGAGAGTTGAAAATGCTCGATGAACAGATTCTCAAGATGGCGGAATCGAATAATATCAACGCTGAAGCTGTTTTAGCATCAACTGAAACTACTGTGGTACCTCCTGGCGGTAAGTATTGTTGGAGTATGATACTGAGTTTGGATTTCCTACTTATATGCCAGATGCGTTAGCTCGGGCATCGCTCAGTACAATTTATTCTCCGTACGGAGAACCCTTCGTGTACCATCACCGGACGGCCGGTGGGGTGGTGATGGTAGACTCCAACCGACTAAAGCCGCACGCCGTCGCGGGTAGCAGTTGCCGGGGAACCAGGTGTAACCTTGAAAGGAAATCCTGACCCATCGGAAAACGAGAGGTACAATTTTCATCCTCATCACCGCTTTTCGAGACACTTTTTGCCTCTCATAACCAATCTGTGGAACGGGTTATCGTCTGCGTTATTTCCGGACCGATACGACCTTCAAGAAAAGAGCGTACTCCTACATAAAAGGCCGGAAACGCGTTTGTGACTCTTAAGTTGCTGTTGCTGTAAGTCTGCTTGTCTGCCCCCTCTAACTTAAAAAAAGGTACCATGTTCATTCAGATCCGTCTAGCCGTTTTTGCGTGACAGAGTTACAAACATCCATACAAGTTTCGCCTTTATTAGTATATAGTATATCGAATATTTGTGATAGTTTAGGTCTTAAAGGCGTAAGGTTAATATGAAATATGGTAAATATGCAGCATACATAAATAAATTATAATGTTATTTTATCTTTCTGTTAACACAGTTATTCTATTGTTTCCTTTGGTATACAAGGTAAGATACATTACAGACATTAATCGAGAAATTTCTTAATAAAATTAAAATTTTATTTTAAAACCATCAATGTCTTCGGCCAAACGTATATTGCCGAACCCATAGCTGTTTTTATACAATTTGAAGATTTATGTACATGATTAGATGTTGCCGGGTTGTTTAATAAAATATCGTATCTTTAGCCAAGAAGCAAGTTGCGCTAAAATGTAAACACCACTTATCCAATACCAATTATTTTATTTCGTATTTCAGACGTAACATCAAAAACTGCTGACGACAGCTCTGAAAAGTCTGATAATCAGAAACTGTTCTCTATTTTCGAAAAACCAAACCCAGGCATTTCTACACCAGGAGGGAAAGGTAACAAAACTCATCATTCTTGACATAGTTTTATCTATTTATTCATTTTCAGGTTGCAAAGATTTACAAGTTTACACATTACATATAAATTATTTATATGAACTTAGTGTTAAGAATTTCTCGTCTGTATTTTTCAGAAGGTACTTGTTGGACGTCATCTTTGCCCTCCAACCAGTATGTCACGTTATTTACAATTTAAAGTTGATTTATTCATTTATTTCAAAAGTAATATTCAAAAGCTTGATTTTCTTTAATATACACAAAATTACAAATCACTTTACTTCATAGAAAGAGAAGCAAAGAGCAATAAAATTCTTGATTATGTTAATATAATAATAAAATAAATAATATGTTGTTTAACAACTGGGTCAAAATTATATTGACCCGCGCAACTTCGAGTGCATATTTCAAAAGCAATAATTTTGTCACCGTTTGTGCAGCATTTTTCATTGCTGCTCACTTATTGGTCTTAGCGTAATGTTATAATAGTCCATAACCTTCCTGGATAAATGAGTCAACTAATATTAAAAGAATTTTTCAATTCGAACCAATAGTAGATTCAGCTTTATAACATTAATAATCAATCATAATGAATATATTAATTATTGAAGAGTTAGTTTATGAGTGTTAAAAATCATTTATATTTTTACTAATCTATTGTATTTGATTATATTAATAAACTTCTCGCGGTGTTATCCGCGACCTATCAAATATATTTCAATTCCTAGCTCATTCCACGGGAACACTAAAATTTTTGGGATAGAAAGTAGCCAATGTGTTAAACCAGGGTGTTAGCTACCTCCATGATAAATTTTGTCAAAATTTATAATGCCGTTTGAACGTGAAGAAGTAACAAACCGACAAACACAAACTCAAAAAGTTTTGCCCCTTTATAATAATAGTGTTATTTTATATGTTTTGTAACTAAGTTGTTATTTTATATGTTAATGAAAACTAAACTGATATTGCTAGTAAACGAAGAAATAAAGTAATTTAAATAAATACATAAAGTCCAGCATAAAACGATACTTTCGGGGTTTATGCATATTGAATATAAATTGGGACATTATTGTGATAAGTTCTCGATGACACTTTTGTCAACTTCGACTTAATTATGTACTTGGTGTAAAATAGTGTACAACAGTCATTTTAACACGTGATTCTATTACAAACTACATTTATATTGCAGTCTACAAAGAAATTAATTTCTAAGACTTAATACATATTTAAATAATTATCTTGGTAACTGAAATCTCGTGAACTAACTAATAATAATAATAAAACCTTCACATATGTCGCCCACGGCAGTCTAATCTCAAACTAGACAGAGTGCTATGGTAACTCGACTGCTGATAAACATACTTAAATATGTCTAAATACATATAAACGGTGTAAGGGACGCCGTAACGGATACTGAAATAGTGTATTCAGACCATCATTCTGAGTCGCAAATCATTGGACTTTTCTGACGAAAAATTAAACTTTTTATGCAATCAGCTGTCAAAGGTTAAGGTCATTCCCCGTAGGTATCGCACAAAAGTAATAATTACATGTGTATTCCGTGCAATCAGGCTACGCACACTAACACAAAATGGCGGCCGGAAGGGAGGCTGTTTGATTAATTACATTGCAGTTTTTTGGTATTTATTAAATTGTTTTTGGTAAAATGATCTGTAGTAATTGTGGTATCATTTATCATCATTTTTAACCAAAAAATGGCATATTAAAAACAAAAAGATGAATTTTCCGGCAGAAAATTTCAATGATTTTCGACTCAGAATCATGGTCTGAATACACTATTTCAGTATTCGGTACGATGCCCCTTCACCTTGTATACCATAGAAAAATCTTTCTAAGGAGAGGTCTATGTCCAGCAGTGGACTATTAAAGTTGATGATGATGAAGATATGTTATAGATAAATTTAACCCAGACATAGAACAAATCATGATCATTTGTTCATTTGTTCTATGTCTGGTCTCATCACACATTTATTCGACCTGGGTGGGTATCGAATCCACGGCCCCTGATTTAGCAGTTAGGGTCAGATAGATTTTGTGACAAATATGTGTGAACATGACCAAGTTATTTAAGTAATGGTCATTATAAGCTTCAAGAGAATTTTATTTTTCTTTAAAAGATGTTTATTTATATATTATCAGATCTTTTATCAAGTAAAAAGTAATATAATTAACGTTTGAAAATTTAAATCCTATAGGTTCCTCAGACAAAAATAGCAAGCGGCTTTTATTGAAGACGGGAGACGATCAGTATGTCATCGACGCCGGTCAGAAGAAATTTGGAGCCACACAATGTCCTGAATGTGGGACTATTTATCAGGTGCGAATAGATTATATGCGTTGTCTTTAAAGCGAGTCGTCGACAAAGCAAATATCGTGTAGGTGGTAAAAAAACCCATTGAAATACTGAACGTATATTTCTTTTCTAGATCGGTGATCCCCAAGACGAACATGATCATCTAGTTCATCACAACGCGACAGATGTTTTACGATTCAATGTAAGTTATATATATAAATTCTCTCGTAAGTATATATCTGATCATTTTTTACTGTACGATATGGGAAGTTTAATAGAGAATAGCTAATCTATTGACGTAGTTTATGAGTCCGAGACGGGTTGTACCCAGACGTGTTCCGTCCCCAGGGCTGGAAGGACGAGTGCGTGGTGGAGCACGTGGGCGCGGCGCGCGTGGTGCGCGTGCGCGGCGGCGACCCGCACTGGCGCAAGGTGCAGCAGCTGCTGGCGCGCGTCGTGCACCCGCACCTCGGCTACGGACACGACCTGCCGCATCGCGACCTGCACGCCTACACCGTAACTACCCTTTATTCTATCCGTACAGAATTGTATTTAAAACACCTCGAAATCACTTATATTAAAGGTTTTCTAATACATATCGAGAGTACCACTATGTTGAATAAATGTACGTGAAATAAATACTTGTTCCAAATTATGTATCTTAAATTTAATTCATACGAATGTTTTTTTTATTGCAGGCATATTTATACATAGACAAGAAACAGATAGTTGGATGTATAATAGTGGAACCTAAAGTTCGTGCGTACAAGCTCATCCCGGGAGACCCTGACTGCTGTAGTGTCGAAGAATACCCTGTCAAGTAAGAAAGAACACGTTATCTCAAATTAAATAGTAGAAGTAATAACTTTTTACATAAAAAAATAACAAAAATATTTGACTTTAAGCGTGAATTAATCAGTTCGCATCATATAGAATAGACGAAGGAGATGACCGATAACTTTATATTACGTATGTTAACCCAGGAATCTAAAATGAACGCTTATAGGAATATGTAACTTTAAGACTCCCCCACTACGAAATACTGGTCCCGACCGAGAACATGATTCTCTATCAGTAGCTTCTAGAGAGACCCGTCACGTAACTCGGCACCGTCCTCAGGTGCGGCGTGTCCCGCGTGTGGACGCACATCAACTACCGGCGGCGCGGCGTGGCCACGCGCCTGCTGCACTGCGCCCGGGCCTCCTTCCTCTACGGCAGCGCGCTCAGGACCGACGACTTGGCCTTCAGCGCGCCCACCGCGCAAGGGAAAGCCTTCGCCGCAAACTACACCGGCACACAAAACTTTTACGTTTATCTGGACTGATAGTCAGTGTCTTACGAAGTATTCCGTGAACTCTGTAAATAAGTGTATCCAGTAAAAACAGGCCTTCGTTTGGGTGAGTAGACACATGTATTCTTAATTTGACTGAACCCAGGTCATAGTGATGTTTTATTATACTTTGTGTTGTTTAGAAACAGGTAAATTCATAATAGACAAGTTTACATTTCTGGATACAGTATAATCTAATATCAACTTACAGACTTGATATTGCTTTAAAAAAAGTATTAATGAAAAACTTACAAAATATTAAGTCTGATTATAAAAGAAACAACTTAAAATTGAAAATTTGGTAATTTGAAAAGTTATTAAACATTTTGGTGTTATGAAACCCTGAGCCTGTTTAAAATGTTTTCACTGAATGATTCCTACATGCTTAAGTTAAAATAATGAAATAACGTGGTCAATCTTAGTTTTAATAGAAAAACAACTAACTTTTTAAGTAATAATAAATACTGTAGTGGATATGAAAATTTCGATACATTTGCAAAAAAATATTCATTAACTAAGTGGAATTTGATTAAGATTATCAGCAAATATTACATATTTCCATTACAACATATAAATATATGTTCATGTCAAATTTCCAACTACCAGAAATAGCTTGGCATTCGAATTTCAACCTATTTGTTTCTGGATTAAGATATTTTCCATTCCATTATAGGTCAGTCCTGTCTTGGAATGAAAAGTAAACAATATGACCCATTGTAACTTTGTGAGACTGTTTAAATTGTAGCTTCATTTCAATTTAAGTATTCTAAATTTATTGCTCCATGCGCGAAGTTTGTCTATTAAGAGGATACAAAGTATACTCTTTTTATATTAATATATAGAATATAAGTTAAATACCAATTAAAATTTTCAAAGGTGAAATAAACATTTATAAACAAAATTAATTAGATTTGACTTCTTAAACTTGGCACTTTCAAACATACACACCACTAAAATAAATGCAACAAATATATTGACTACATAAAAAGAACAGAAGAAAAAATTAAAGAAAACTTGTTAGTGATAATGATGGGACCAATTTTAATGACATTGTTATTAGTTCTAAAGAGCTGGCATATTGTCTAAGTTATGTAATGTAAATAATCTATTATGGCCAGATTAAGAAGTTACTTCCTATTATAGGACTCGTAATTTAGTGAGTATAGATACATAAGTACATTGTTATTAGATACTAGATAGTGACATCTGGGAGGGGATGATTTTCCTCCCATCCTCCACTGATATAATGCAAGTAGCACTCTTAAATATTCCACAAAAATTATGGTTGTTCAATAGCTTTTCTTAGGTGTAAAGGAACTAAATTCCTATATTGGATAGACTACTGGTTTGGCTACTCTTGCTTTAGGAATTTATAAGGAATAAAACCTCAGGAGTTGTAAGCTCAATATGTGGTACCGTTACAATAGTATAATTTAGATGCTAGGTTCTACTTTGGCAATCTGTTCTTCTGTCTTCTGTCCCAACAAACTAATACTTTGTAGCCTACTTTTACGATAGTAATTGACTTAATTATAGTCACAGATTAGATAATACGGTACAGTGTTACTTTAATGATTCCATTTAAGTTCAGTGAGACATCTTTTACCAAGACACTTCGGTGATATAGAGGAGTATTTCATTATCACTTCATTTGTATGAATATTTCGTGCAGTACTTAATAAGACAATGAGTGCCAATGTCGATGTAACTATAACAATTAATATATTTTATAAGTTATTTGCCTCAAAATAGATTAAGAATGTTTTTATTATAAGTTTTGAACTTTTTACATATTTTTAAGATTTTGCTACTAGTTTTTTTAGACATTTTTGTAAATCGTGCCTTTTAATATGAAAATGTGAGCAATTTTGCTTGATTTTAATCTTTAAAGAATTATAAAATAATGTGGTACAAGTGCTAGCTTTCATATTTAATCCAAAACGAATTATGATGTTTTTGGAATTAATTTAAATAACAACAAGATTGTTCATTTTTGTATTAGAACCACTTCATATTTGATTCTCTAAGTTTTGATTACACTGTGAGCTTATAAATGCTTCTTGTAAAGTGGTTGTAACCAGGTACTACACAATGGGGTAGATGACTGTCAAGTCAAATCAGTATCTTTTTATTAAACAGCAAAATGATAGACACTACATTTTTGTATGAAATACTATATTCATATTTAATGCTGCTTTGAAGTTATAAAAACATTAAATTGATGATTTGAATTCAGGCTGTACCTTAAGCCAGGTCAGTCTATGGATGGGTGACTATTTTTAACACACCCCTCGTGCCCTCAATGATCAAGCCGTCGCTCCCAGTCGCCATTCGAACATCTGTGACAATCGTTACGAGTTCTTGGAGCCCGAAAAAGTCCGGCAACAGTCTTCCTACAGAACTTCAATGTCGCCTAGTACTTGGTTTGTTTAGGTCTGATGGTAGTCGCTCCGCGTAAAATATCAGTCGTATCGTAGTGGACTTAAATCTAACCCCAGCCTAGTTTTGGGACAAGGCTCAGAGGAAGACTTTAAGATGTTACTATTTATGTTTGAGACGAAATAATTTCATTTAAAGCAAGGAATCTACCCTGTTGTGTTTTATTTAGAAATAGATCACAGTTGTAAGAACAATAAAACAAACTCATTGGTTAGTTGCTAATAGTATTAATTCTGACTATTTTCTACTAACACATGACATTCGATTGCCGTGCAGCGTTAACCTAAATTTATTTCTATCAGCTTTTAAACGTGAGATTTTGCTTAAAACTTATTCTTTTTTTAGTTAAAGCATAGACAATAGTAGTGTTGTGTTCTAAGACCATAGACTATCCAAAATCTTACCTTAAGTTATGTGTAACAGTATCCCAATGCATACCTCAGTTTAAGATATATGTGAAAGTGTTTGGTAGTTAAGTTTTTGTGTGTAATATAAATGTGCATTATTATGAATAGTTGAGTACCTTAGCATTCAATTAAATTAACTAATTGTGTCACTAGTCAATGTTGTAATACTTAATGTTTCTAATTGTAGTGGTAGTGCTATTTAGACCAGATAGATTTCTTCACTTCCTAGAACACTGAAAATCACCCTTTGAAAATGTACAACCCCAACCTTTTTTATAATTTTGACCTTTTAATACATTAGATACAAGTTAATGATATCGCATTGTCCGCATTCTACACTGACTAAATAATATCAGGTAGGCAATATTCACTTTTGAAAAGGATATTCGCGCCATAAGTAATCTTACTTTTAGTAATTACTCATTTGTATAATTACAAATATGCCCAATTTGGTAATGACCTTATTAATGAAATAGGTGTGTGTTTAGCAGCAGCCTTACTAAAGTCTGTTGCAAAGCAAAGCAAATTGCAAAATACTAATTCTACTAGCTGGACACAAGCCTCTTCTTAGAAAGGAGGTTTTGGCTTACTATACCACAATGGGCAAACGCGTTTTTGTATCAAGTTTTCCTTCTCTTTGCAGCGCTGTTGTCCTGTGTACTTTACTCCCTTGGTCGAGTCCTATGACACCCACAGGATGATAAGGGGTTACGGTACGTGACACTCCGTATTCTTAACCCGTCACCACACGGAGCAATGTGTAATCGTAATAATGCACAATTATAAATCCAATTTATTATAATTTCAGGTCAGTACGCTTATATTTAACGTTAGATTTAGTTGTGTGACTTGCGAAAGAGCGCAATACTCTTAATTGTTATATATTTGTTCGTGATTAGACATTGCCCAATTAGAAGCTTAGCGCAAACACTAATACATAGAAAATACGTAATATTATTACTTTTAAATATTATCACTAAACTTAACTTACTACTACTACTTACTAGACTTAACGGTATAAAGATTGGTCAGAATATGAAAAGTTCCATTCATAAAAACATAATTCAATAATATACAAAACATAGACTATATTAGTCTATGTTGATGTATACCACGGACTACTTGTTACCAATATTACTAAATAAAAGTTATATCAGTTCTTCTTCTGAATGTTAACCAACGATTCTACTTATCCCAACTCAAGTAATGGAAATATTTAATTATGTTAAATTTAGGTTCCTGTGACAGTTCTGTGCTAAGCTTTAGTTTAATGTTAATGATTTACAAACGTTAACTTGTGTCATCGTTGTCCTAGTCTCTCTATTTATATTTGATCTGAATTTGTCAAACTGTTACTGATATGTTTACGTATTAAAATTTTACCGCTTGTAGACATTTTTACCTTTTTAATGCGATAAGGGCAAGTCCAAAGATGTCTCGTACCTTATGTATTGCCATATACGTGTAAATAATATTTATTTTTGTTTCTCTACTTTTCATTGCTTTTAATGGTTTTTGACTCGATTTTCGTTTATTTTTGGAAGTGCTCTTAAAGTGACACAACGTGTGTGCCTAAGGTTTTGATAATAAATTTGATTTTTATAAACATTGTTTTTATTTTGTACCCTACATTATTACAGTTAATTGTTGATGGATAAATTCGATATTTGCGCTGAATTGGAATGTAAGCATTCCATTCATTCCGTCATAATAATCAGAGACAAAACCTGATTTTATATGTCAGGTAACAAAGTTACTGCTCTCAACAGATTTGTTTGCATGATATTTTATGAGAAACCACAGAATCGCTCATTAGTTGTCAACCACCTCCTAAAGAAGCCCTGTATAGTTGCAAAATACGTTTCGAATTATTATTTTGTTACAGCGAGATTACGAATTAAATGTGCTAGGGAGATGTAATTTCCTCAACGGCCTCAACGCTCTTGCTATCTTTAGGGAAAACCTACTTACTATTTTAGTACACACAAAAATAGTTAAGTTTAATTACTTTAACCAATTTGAACGTTCAAATATATACCGTGTGCGTTACCCCAGCAAAATAATGTCGAAAATGGTCATTTAAACTTTATAGATAATTAGTTGCTCCCCTTCTGTAATTGTTAGGCACATTTTTAAATTTGTTTCACT